CTCATGCATGTCCAGAAGCATTATTCAAGCTTTTTTTTTTTTTTTTTTTAGAGTTTTTGAGAGCGTTTTCTGGCAGAAAAAAAACACTGAACGCTCCTAAACACTACTAAAATGCTCCTAACAACAGCTTTTTTTTTGAGTGGGTTTTGTTTTTCTTCACGTACTGTTAAAATGCTTATAAAACGCTTACACTACTAAAAAGCTACTACAAGCCAGCGTTTTTCAGCCAGCTTTTTTTTTCTAGCTTTTTTTGAGCTTATAAAAAATGTTTGTGTTCTTTGATCCTAAATTTCAGTTGGCTGAATGGCCAAACTGATGTGCTTCTCTTTGTTTACCTTATGAATAGAGGCTAATTACATTCAAATAATCAAGTATGTTAGAGGTCTATGCTTTTCGAAATGTAAGTGAACAAAAGAGCACAATTTCAGGCAGGGATGCTCAACCTTTTGAAGAGCAAGGGCCACTTAAGTGAATTGGTAACCAGTCGCAGGTTACAGTAAACTGCAATGGTTCAGAATTTTGCAGAATCTTTCCTGCAGCTTTTGAGTGGGAGGGAGAGGAGGAGAAGCTGGATTTCAGCGGCTCCGGGGGCCACAGGTTGAGGGCCCTTGATTTAAGGGGTTGCAAAGTCATGTTGACTGTAACGTCTTTTTTGATCTTTTTCCATCTTTGTTTATGGTGCTAATGTAGTGAGATAAGTGGTGTACTCTGTGCTTTGCCATAGACTTCTATTATATCCTGCAGGTGTGGTGCACATTCTGAAAACTTGCCAAAACTCCTGCATTCAGGAGTTTTGGTGAGATTTCAGAAAGTGCACCAGATATAATAAAAGTATATGGCTAAGCGCAGCAAACCCACAGGAAAGTTGCAGGTACACTACCCTATACAGAGGAGGCATCGGCAGTCAAATTTTGCAGAAAGCGTTAAATCAGTTGTGAAAAGCAGAACATTCCTGTTCTTGATTCTTATGTCCTCCCTCACTGCTGTAATCCTTGGATTTTCATAGAAAGGCAAATGCTAAATGTGTGGTACCAGGCACATATCACTATTATGTACTGTACATGTTTCAAGAATGTCTCTTTTAACCTCCCTGGCGGTATTCCCGAGTGCAGCTCGGGGTAAAGTTTCAGTACCAAAAGCGGTATCCCCGAGCTACACTCGGTAATACCTTGCAGCGATGCTCTGGGATCTGTTCTTCACTTACCTTGTCCTGCGCTCCTGCGATGTCCCTCCTGCAGTGTACCTGGCAATGTAATCCGGCGGATGCCAGCATCTGTCATCGGTGTTCCGTCCCCTGCGAGCGTCGGGACATACAAGGACGGAACGGCGGGAAATTTGAAAATATCAAAAAGTGACGTTCACTAAATACACTAAAATCACATAGTAGAACATTACTGTATCAAACCATTTCACATACATTTTGTCCCTAGTGCTTTGTCCTGTGCCCTGCCTGCATTTTTACTGTTCTTTCTGCCTGGAAACTGAGAAACGTCCATGGCGTCCAAAAAGTGTCCCTATATGTCAAGAGGTTTTAGACCAGCTAGAGAACAGCGATAGTAAATCAGAACTACTTGCAGAATTGAGTGATAATGATTCGTGGGGAAATTCGTCATCAGACACTGAAAACGATTTTGCGACTTTGCTCCGTGATGTGCGAACTTGGAGCTATATTTCAAATTTCAGTGTTTTTGGTTTGATTATATTATTGAATTAAATTTATTATATTATTTTTTATGTTTATTAAATTATAATTTATGATTTCGTGTTTCAAATTGTAACATACCCTGGATGTTTACTAGACTCTTGTTCGGACAGATTTCAGTGAGTTGTTCCTAAAAATTACAGGCCTGCAATAAAAAAACTACGTATTTCCATGCAAAAAAATGTACTGCTTTGAGCACAGAAATATGGACATAATCAGACTGCTATGGAGGTTAAGTTCTTGATTGGTTCAGTTCCATCATATAATAAAAGTATATAGTATAGCAGGTAAGGCAGAAACATTCTAGATCTGGATCTGTACAATAAAGTGAGCCTTGCAGGCCACACTTAAAAAATGTATGCCATATTGTAGCTCAGCTGGAGGCCACTGAGGAGAGAATTAGAAACATTTGGAGGCCAGTTGAGGTCATTTTTAAGCATACTTAAAGTGATATCAATCCTCTGGTTTAGGGGGAAAAAAAAAATCTTATTTGTATGTATTCTTAACTCAAAGTACCTCTGTTGCTCGCAGCCTCCTCCAATTCTCCAAATTATTATTTTTAATTTTTTTTTTTTTTTTTTTTTTGCTGCTGTGATCCTTCTTCCTGTTAGAGGGGGTGTCCATGTTCATGTACCATTTCTTGCCTGCTACCGAGATGGACGATGGCATTTGTAGTGTGCATAAAGCAGTACATGTGACCACCTATAACGTTCACTACTCATTCCAAACAAACAGAAATGAGGAGGAAAAGGGGAGGCTCTGGTGCTCACTAAGGATGTTACAAGGAAATAGAAAAAACACAGTGAGAAACCATTTAATGAAAATTAGACTACGGGACCATTAGGTAGTTGATGTGTATGGATTATTTTTGGAGAATACGCTTATTTAGTGTCGCTTAAGAATGCCCCTGTAGGGGTTTTGAGGATGCCTTTGTGGTCAAATACATGATACTTGATCTGTGTATACATATAAAGTATGTTGTGTTATGATGAATGTGATTACAAAGTTGACTTCACAAAGGAAGATTTTTGTTGATTTCTTTGTATTTTGTGATGGGTACAAAGTGGCTAAAACATTTACCAGTTTTTACAAATCCTTACTTTGCTGTTCATGTTTAAAGGATAAGTTCACATTTTTGTTCACTTTTTTTATTCTTCTCTAAATTCCAGTTTCCCTATGTACCAGTATAGCATTATATACTTCTTTTGCAGAAAGTCAAAAACTTTCCATTTTTTTCTACCCACCTTTATGTCCGTGCCCAGATGGCTGTACAAAAAGGCTTCTCGATTACTTCTGCCTTATTTCCTGTAGAGATTTTAAGCAATGACACAGGAAGGAGTTGACCAGCTGACCTCATTAGCACACACCCTGCATTATCTACTCTCCTACCTACCACCCACTTCCAGGTGAACGACTATTAAAAGAAAAGCAATCAATCAGTGATCATTGTTCTCACTAAATACACAGACATCGATTTTTATTTTTCTACCTTAACTTTTATCTTGCATAGATCCATAGTTCCCAACTCTCTCTGATTTCGAGGGACTGTCCCTCATTTGGAAAAAAGTCCCTCTGTCCTCCTCATTCGTCCCTCATTTTTGTTTGATCAATGTAGTTGTAAATAAGATGCACGGTTTATCAAAAAGTATTTTAAGTGCAGGTTATAGGATATTTTCAAAGCAAATATAAAGGAATTGTAGCGAGCAAAAAACTACTTGTGGGTTTAACCAACAGGTTTTTTTTTTTTTGTTTTTTTTTTGTGTTTTTGGGTGTAGTTTTTCTTTAAGGGGATGTGACGGGGCATTTCCTATGCCCACATACTTTCTAATAGGTGTCCCTCATTCCCATCTCAGAAAGTTGGGAGGTATATAGATCATTATTTGGCAGTGTGCTGAGTGAACAGATGACGGCCTATGTGGATAACTGTAGTATTGAAAACAGGAGAATTGTGTTCTGGGTTCTGTAAAGTTCACATACACTATACAATCCCCTTTTATATCTACCATCAACTATGTAATGCAAGCGCCTGACTGATTGGATACAGAGTGATTGTGTAGATAGGCAGGTCCTCCTATTCCATAGTTCTGGAAAATCTAAATGAAATTGTACAGAGATTGTAAACCAGATTGCATGTGTATAACCATCTTTATACACCTAAAATGAACTAGTTGCACTTTTGGTGCAGTTAATGGCACACAAAACACAGAAGCAAACACATTTTTCCATGTGAAAAAATGAGTGGCAATCGCAGCAAAACGCAAAGTAATAAAAAGCACAACCTTCATCATGCCAAAATGTCCCATGAGCCACATCTAGCACAGGATACAAATGGAGAAACAGAAAAAGGGCGCACCGACCTAGTGCATTACCGTTTAAAATAATTTATTGAAGAAACAAAATCGGTATCATACTCACAATGGACATAACACAGGCATGTCAAACTGAACAAGATGTATGATCCAAACAACATCTGAGTCCATACGATGGAACCCTGGATGACCAACTGCCTAACGCGTTTCGAGGACACAACCTCTTCCTCAGAGCCCTGACATATACAATAGACATACACTATACAATCTCATTGTACAATTTCCTTTTAGATTTTCCAGAACTATGGATAGGAGGACCCACCTATCTACCCAATCACTCTGTATCCAATAAGGTGGGCCTTTGCACTACATAGTTGATAGTAGATCTAAAGGAGAGCGTGCAATCAGATTGTATAGTATATGTGAACTTTACAGAACACAATTCTCCTGTTTTCAATACTAAATACACATAAACTTATCTGTTCACTCAGCACACACTGCCAAATGAATGATCTATGCAAGATGAAAGTTATGGTAGAAAATAAAAAATCGAAGTCGGTGTATTTAGTGAGAACAGGGATCACTGATTGATTGCTTTTCATTTAATATTCGTGCACCTGGAAGTGGGTGGCAGGTAGGAGGGTAGATGAAGCAGGGTGTGTACTTATGGGATCAGCTGGTCAACTCCTTCCTGTGTCATGACCTAAAATCTCTGCAGGAAATAAAGCAGATGTAATCGAAGATTTTTTTTGTGCAGCCATCTGGACACGGACATAAAGGTGGGTAGAAAAAAAAATGGAAAGCTTTTGAGTTTCTGTAAAAGACGTACATTAATGCTATATTGTTACATAGGGAAGCTAGAATTTAGGAAAAAAGGTCAACATAGCTGAACTTATCCTTTAAAGCAGGCTTTGCAATTCTGGCTATTCTCTACACTCAGTTTATCAAGTGTTGTAGATTACAGTGCATATATCTATATTTTCTTTCAGCAAAGCAGAAGCTAGAGGACAGACTGGCAGCAGCAGCCAGAGAGAAATTAGCACAAGCAGCCAAGGAATCCAAAGAGAAACAACTACAGGCTGAGCGCAAAAGGAAGGCAGCACTTTTCCTTCAAACACTAAAGAATCCATTAGAGATGGAATCAGGGAGGACAGAGGAGAACAATTACAACCAAGAGGTCAGTTTATTCTTTTGTTTGGAATGCATTACCATTAATTCTTTTAGCTTTTGTACAGTTTTGTCTGTTCAGTGGCTAATGCAGCTCTGGTACTTATGCCACAGCAAAAATAGTTCCAAGGTTTGAAGTGCACCAAAGTTCTTAATGTGTTATGGTAGTAGATGGGATAGGATAACAAAGTTGAGTTTTTATCGTATTTACTTTTAGCTCGTGCTCTACAGTTGTTCTTGCCACTGTTGCAATTGTTAATCAGGTGCACTCCCCTGTAAACCATAGTTGTGTACCGTTTTACTTTATTAAACTAGCATGTACTAAAAGGTGCTGATACTACAAATGAATTTTCCTTAATCCTCTCTCCACACTCAACAAACACAAGGCATGCACCATACACTACAAATCTCAGCTTTGCTAAAAGTCAGAGTTCAAGTGCATCCTACACATCCCGCAAAGAAAGGAGGTCCTGCTACTAACCTATTGAGAGGTGTGCATATTAAATTATGGCATGCAGTGGCAGACATACAGAGGTTGGACAACAATATGGAAACACTACGTGATTTGCAGGTGTGAAAGTGATTACATGTTCCACGTTGAAAGCGAAAGAGATATAACATTCTTTTGCTTCCTCTGTGTGATGAAAGACCTAGCTTAACAGGTGGGAATCCTCACTTTCGTCATTCACTATGTGCGCTGCTGTAATACAAAGTCATGTCAGAGCTTACTGAGATTCAAAGAGGGCAGATTGTTGGTGCCGCTTAGCTGGTGCCTCTGTGACTGAAGTTGCCAATTTGTTTGCCATGTCTTGAGGTACAGTATCAAAGGTTATGACAGCATATTCAGTTTTCAGTAAAACGTCGTCTGATAAGCATAAGCAATGTCAACCTGGTCTACTGACCGAAAGAGGCAAAAGGACATTGCGTAGGATTGTGACCTGGAATAAGAAAACTGCTGCAAAAGTGACTGCAGAAATCTTCCAAAGCCCATGTCCACAAAAGCTGTGCAGAGGGAACTCCTAAGCAAAACATTCACGGGGAATTTGCGATTGCCAAACCACAGTGAATGATATTATTGCTCAGAAGAGGAGAGAGTGATGCAACACTAATAAAGTAGCCATATCTTGGTATTCTGCAGGCCCCATTATCACCTTGAAAAGTAGAGACACTGCCAGCAACTATTTACAAAGTTTGGCAGACCATGTGCATCCCATGGTGCAGACATTGTTTCCTGGGACAGTGTCATTTACCAAGACAAAAATGCTTAGATTCACACTGCTGGTGTTGTCAAATCATGGTTTGATGAGCATGCAAAGTCTCGCACCTTCCCTGGGTACCACTCTCGCTGGACCTCAATATCATAGAGGTACTATGTTCTTTTTTTGAAGAACAAGGTTCAGGCTTGTTTTTTGGATCCAGCATCTCTGCAAAAACTGGAACGATTGCATTATCCTTCATCCAAGACTTATATTTGTCAATTCCCAGGAGATTTCAGGCTGTCTTGGATGCTAAAGGCAGTCCAACACCATATTAGGTAATGATTTCGTTCTTTTACCTTGGGTTTCCGTAATTTTGTCCAACCCCTGTATCTAAGCTCTGAAGTGGAGCAAAGTCAAGATTTGCATACTGTGGGAGCATCTAGGGCATGTTGGAGTATAATTATAACTAGAAGTTGAACCGGATTGTGTCTCAAGCTTCTCATAACAAGCAGTTCATTGAATAACTGTTCAGTGTTCATCCTTGTATTTGTGTTCATGTATATATGCACACACAAACATCTGGTCTCTCTAATGAGCTAATTAACATATGATTGTACATTCTGACAGTCTTGTGCCCTCCACTTTTCCCCCTTCCTAACAGTCATTAATTTTGAATGGGCTCAGATCGCACCACATCACACCAAAGTCCTGCACGCAGCAATTTTGTAACCGCACTGCAACCAGATCTCTTTTGATTTTTTTCCTTATTTTGGATTTTGTTTTTTTTTCTTTCTGATTGTGCACCTGACAATTTACTGATCGGTACGCCGTTCTAGCATAAGGCGACTTGTGACTGACATGTAAAGTCTGTTTTGGGCACTGAATCCTGTGTTAGGTGCTCCTCTGTACGATGTGCAATGTGTGGAGCTAGCTGCAGTGTGCTATACAGGTCCTGGATAGTGGTGTTCTGCAATGTGACCCAGTCTCTAAAGACCCCTTCTGGGGTATGCTCTTCCAAAGTGACTGAAGCAACGATGACATTTTTCCACTTGCCGCTCTGCACCACTCTGCAGTGAGCACAGGAGGGACAGCAGCATTGTCAGTCTGGGGGGAGGATAGTGTAAAATGTATTAGCAAGTTTAGATACAACACAAATTGAAGGCAGAATCCAGCCTCTCACTTTATAATCTGTTACAGCAAACCGTTTTTTTCCTATTGGTATAAAGATTTTACATGAATAAATAAGATGATCATTTTATATACCCCTGCCAGTGTAAATGGTCACCAGATGAAAACAGAAGAAAGAAAAAAAAAAAAAAAAATGAATGCAGCCATCACATCTCAGAATTGGTAAGCTGCAACATAATACATTTTTGCTCTTGGATTTAATACAGCTTTAAGGCTCTGCTGATTATGGTTTTAGCCATAAGGTGCTACAAGCATCTGTCTAGTTAGTGTCTCACCCTTGTTTATTTTTTGTGGGCCTTTTGGCTTTTGTTTGCTCTGTAACCCCCTCTTTTTATGTATTGCTTTTGGACATCCTCATCGTCTAAGACAATGCCTGTGTCATGTACTGTATGATCAAGAAAGAGATTTTTTTCTTTTTACTTCCCTGTAAAATCATTTTCTTGGATACCGTACAGGACACAACACTCTCAACCTTGCCTGTGAATTCTTATAGCTTGCTAAAATAACCGAGGGTTACTGTCAGTAGTAGGGGGGTTAAATGGTGTTCCTTAGGATTCATGCCACTTTTACAAGCGTTTGACATTATTTTTTATTTTCAGCCTGTAAAAGTCACCTGTGTTAGCCACACAAAGGTGTGAAAAAAAAAAACCAAAAGCGCTTTCAGGAATGAAACTTTGGAGCAGAAAAAACACTTGTGCCTAAACGCTAGTGACCAGAAAAATAATCCATTACTAATAATCAGTGGACGCGGAAGCATATGACTGACGTGCCTAGATGGGTGTGCAGTATGCGGCTTAAGGATCCTTTTTTAAGCAGCTTTTTCCTGCCAGGAGTCATTCAGAGTGACTGTAAAGAGGCTCTGTGTGCACGAGGCCTAGCAGTGCTATTTGTTAGTTTCCTATCACCTGAAGGTAGCAACATATAACCCAGTTGTCTAAAACTAGATCTGTTTTCTGTAATGTACTCCTAGAAACAGTAAAAAAAAAAGTGCTTCCTGAACTTTTTAGGTCTAAACATGTTTCACAGATTTGCAAGGCTCTTTCATCTGTGTTCTGTTCACTTGGTCCTAAGTCTTTCAGGTGGCTCTTTTTTGAACTGCAGATGTTCCCCGGTTTCCATTGTTTTTTCAGTCTGTTAGCAATTGTTTGCTGTGTGTTCCACCGCCTCAGGTTGGACGTCCTTAATATGCAGCTACTGTAATGTGATTGGACACTTGCAAAAAAAATAAATCTTTAGGGATATACCTAAAATAACCTTTCCCACTCCCAGCTAGCCACATTTTTTTTCCCTGGTGTCCTTAGGTGATTCTCTGAGAAAAAATCTTCATGGAAAAGTGGTAAGCTTCTCTCAAAGATGATTCATCTATCAAGCTTCCTGGCTGCACCATAACCACTGTGGCTCCATCTTCATCTTCTGGATTGGTTGACTCTTCAACTGAGCTTATTTTCGGAGTATTTGAACCCCACTTGAATGAAGTAGTAGGGCTAACCTGTACGTTACATTGGGCACAGAATGCTCTGTCATCTTGGCACATAGCGCTGCAGGGTGCTATACTTGGTGGATCTTATTGCTGCTGTTTAGCAACTCTTCTCTTAGGGCCCTTCCCAGCTCCCACACGAGGAACACTTTCAAGGTTTTTGCTCTAACCTTCATAGTTCCCAAACCAAGTGTAGGACCCCAGACAATCCAGACCATCTTGTTCTGAAAACGTAGCTTATTTTTGTTGGTTACACAGTGGGGTTAAGTAAAGTCACAGTTCCATCCAGTTCAAAGTAAGTGTGTGTCTTTTCGCTACAATATCCTATATCCTTGTGGTGTTCACTGAGAAACGCATCCAAAATCATCTGTCCTTCCTCTCTTGGCCCAGGCCCTTGGGTACTAGGGTCTCTCCCCCCCCATTCATCTCTACATGAGGGGCTTGACTGTAGCACCAAACACCCAGTTTCACTCCAGACATTGCAGCTCAAATCTGGCAGCATGGGACTAAGACTCAGTCTTTGCGCTGTCCCATTCACCTTGATGTACACAGGTAGACTCTCCCTTATATGGTGGATTTGCAACTTGGCACTTTAGTCAGGGAAACTTTCCCTCAAAGATATGTAATCTTCTCACAGCGGATGCCAGCCTCTGGGGCTTGGAAGGAGTCCTGTGTGCAGGGGAGAGGAGGCAGCTTGTTTTTCATCAATGTCCTTGCACTCAGGGCTATTTTGGTATCCCTACAACGGTAGACCCTTCAGATTCGATGACATCTGGCATGAAACCAATCACACAGTGCCATGCCTTACATCAGTCACTGGGGTTGGGGAGCACCAGAAGTTGCATTGCCCAAAGGGAAGCAAACTTGATTCTCTGGCAAGAACTGCACATTCTACCCTGTCCACACCCCAGGTATGGAAAATTGGTAGGCAGACTTTAGCAGTCATTGTCTGGATCTAGGGAATGGTCTTTCCATTCAAAGGTGTTCCAGGATTTTTCTTCAGCTGGGGGTTGCTGGAACTGGAACACATGGGACAGGTTTGTCACCAGGTCCAAAGGTCCAAGGAGCCCACAGTTGATACTCTGGTGACCGTGTGGCATCTGTATCACCTGATCCACTCCTTTCTACCTTTCCAGTTTTTCTCCC